CCCCCCCCCCCCCCTCAAGCAATGATGATTTAAATAGCTCTAATATGGCCCAGATACTAGTGGTATCTGGATTTTATAAATCAGTCCCAAGGATTAGTGGAACCTTTACTGCTAGTATGGGACTTGATACAATAAACAGAGGAAGACTATCATCTGAATCTTCAGTCCCTTCACTTGATTGTATGGGGAATAAACCGTTAGATGGGCTAGAAGAATGACTTTCATTAAAAGTACAAAAGGTACTATTCAATAATAGAAAAGAATACACATGAAAGTGTGCTGTAGTCTTAAATGAAAACATTTTTATTGTGGATTTCCATGTATAATGTGGATCTTTATACAGCGTCAATTACTTATTTATTAAAGTATTTATTGTATCTTCAGAAGACACCTCTTTCATTATCTTCAGTTAAGGTTCATTTCTTAGCCATATCAGCATATCATGTACTTGTAGAAAGAAAATCAATTTTTACTAATGGTACAATTAAGAGGTTTTTAAAAGGCCTTAATTTGTATCATCCAATAAAAACTCCTATGCCCTCCTGTGATCTGAAGGTTGTACTAGCACAAATAACAAGACCCCCCCTTTGAACTTCACTGGAGAGCTGTTCTTTATTTCATCACTGTGTAAATACAGGTTTGGTTTGGGGTTTGGTTTGTTTTTTGGGGGAGGGGGGTGGCAATAACTTCTGCTAGAAGCAAAGGTGATTTACCAGCATTAGCAAGGCTTGACAAATAATGTAAAGTAGATTACAACCCAAAAGAGCCGGCGCAGAGCAATCTGCGCATGCACAGAATGATCTGCGCATGCGCAGAACCGTGCGGCTGGAGAGCCCTGAAAATTAGTGGCTGATCTATCATTTACTGTGTTTCATAAGAATACCTACTTCATAACCACTGAAGGTGCTAACAGCTCTGTGAGTGGTAACCTTGCTGTCTTAGCATCTATCTGTTTACTTTGATCTACTTAGGTTTAAGTACCCATTCTCCAGATATTTAATGATACCCTGTCTCACACCCCCCTTCCTTTTTTCTTTTTTTCTTTTTGTCCCCCCTTCCCTACCCGTCTCCTATTTATTTTGAGTTTTCATATCCCCTACTGTACTCATAACTCCGATCATCTGAAGAAGTGGGCTGTGCCCACAAAAGCTCATAATGCCATATACATGTTTTGTTAGTCTATAAAGTGCTACCAGACCATTGGTTGTTTTTTTCTGTAACAGACTAACTCGGCTACCCTCTGAAGCTCCTTTCATCCCAAGTTGTTACCCAAAATAGTCTGATTTTCACATAAATCAATCCATAATTTTACCATTTTCCCAAAAATAATCTTCATGACAGGGAAGCCAAATTATACACATTAGATATGAGGAGAACATTTATCTTTTTTATTTAGACATAACTAACCAATTTAGACAGTCTTTAAGGCTATTAGACATTTATGAAGCTTATAAATCCATTCCTTAAGGCATCAGAATTCAGTCAGGTAGATCCAAGTAAGCTTGCATGGCTTTCTCTGGTCGTATTCCTCTGATATAAATATGCAGAGCAGCAATGTGGAATTATTTTTCAAAATTTTGCTAAACATTAGTCTTTAGCCTTGGCATCTAGATGAAATGCAAAAGTTGGTACAGCAGTCCCGCATTCCTTGTTTAACTAGAACTCCAGGTCCCACCATCCTGGATCAGAGACTGCCTATTGATCTGTCCCAGGTGCGAAGATATATAGAGGACCCCACAGGGAAGAAATGAATTAGTTACTTGAAACTGAGATTTTTTTCTTTAGATGGACTCTGCATATTCACATTCCTTATGCATCATTCACAATTCCCCACTACCTTCTGTAGAGCCAATTGACCCTGATTGTTGGCAGGTGGGATTGAACTTGCAACCTTAGAGCTAAAGCCATATGCCGCTACCACATGAGCTAAAAGCAAACTGCCTCTTAGCTAAGTCTGTACAGCAAACTTCAGTCTCCCTTGTCAGCAGTTTCAGTGCCTCAAGGTTACATTACCAAAGGGTGATTATCAGGGAAGGATTCAAAGCAGGGATGTATAACATTTTCGCTATGTCTATACTACACCCGTTTTGCACACGAAATATGCAAATGAGATTAAGCATGGAATATCACTGAGCCTGATTTGCATAATTAATGAGCATCCGCTTTTTGCACAAGAGGCTTTTGTGCAAAAAGGAGCCGTCTACACAGCTCCTTTTTGCATTAAACCCCCAGAAAAAAATGCGGAAGAACAGCTCTTGCGCAAGAGGGGGGTTTTGTACAAAAAGGAGCTGTGTAGATGGCTCCTTTTTGCACAAAAGTGTCTTGCGTAAAAAGCAGGTGTTCATTAATTATGCGAATAAGGCTCGACATATTCCATGCTTAGCCTTATTTGCATATATCTTGCACAAAACAGGTGCGGTATAGACATAGCCTTAGTTTAAATCCTTAGCATAGAACATTTAGACTTCATAGGTGATGGCAAGGAAGCTGTGTGGACATTTCCATGGCTACTGCTACAGCTTGAACCTCTCTAATCTGTCGTCCTCAGGACTTGACTGGTGCTGAACCAGAGAATTTGCCAAACTATGGGAGGCTAATATTGTCTAGCAGCATTACCAACACTTCCACTTCTTACTGGGCTCTTAGGAGACATTTAGGGGTAAATTAGAGCTAAATAACAGCACAGAACACTGAGAGCCAGGACTGGTGGCTGTAAACAAACTTTATGAAAGCACAGAAAACTAGGCAAAACCCATGATTAGTGGGTATCCAGCTAACTAAAATCATTCCAGACCACAGATGTTGCTGGACTAAAGAGTGTAATTTGCTCAAAGGCATCACTAACAACTCTTTCTAGGCCAGATTGAACTTTCTGCCACCAGCCATTCTGTTCTTAGTTCTGTACAGAAATGATTCCATGATTTTTAAAAATGGAAGAAGGCCTTTTTCATTCTTTTCTCATTCAAAAATGGCTGAAGCATTTTTACTCAAAATGTCCAGATAATTTTATCATTGGGCAAAGACTAGTCCTGAAAAATGTCAACCTAATATGAGAAAGTTTCAGAATGCTTTTAGTGACTGAAAACAGAATTATGCTTTAGTATGACATTTGCAGATCCTAGTTGTAGAACTATAATGCCAATGCTTGCCAGTTAATTCTTGACATCAGAAGGCCCAGTACTGTGGATCTCTGTAATATTTTACAGAACCATCACTGCAGAATATTCTCTTTTATTAATCCAGCTGTGTAATGATCTATTTACATTTACACAGTTCATCACACATTCTGATTTATACACCAACTTTTTTGTTTTCAACATTTTTATTTTAATATAATAGAAATTGCCAAATAACTCTTAAAATATTTCCTCTAAAATATATTATTCGAATTAATGTCTTCAGAACAATAAACTTCTATTGCTACCTTGAAAAATAATTGTAAAACTTCTAAAAAAAAAAAAAGCCCCCAGGCATGGTATGTTGAGTTTCAATCTTTAGTCAGTTACATCTTATCCCAACCCTCCATTCCTTACTCAAACCAAATTCCTACTGGCATCATTTGGAGATTTGGATGTGCAGGGGATACAGGACTCTAAGCTTTATTTGGTTAAAAACTTCCAAAAATTGGGATCAGCCATGGACACTGTGACAAGGCCATTAATTACAGTGCATAAAAACTGATGGTCTAGTAATTCTTGTTCACTACCTGTTATTAATTTTGTGCAGTTGACAGCTACTTTGGCAAAGGGATTGTCAGTGCGAGCTGTTGTAATGTAATGTTTTGATCTCTGTTAGTTTTAAATAATATAGCATATTATTAAATGATACTAATTTTCACAGTATCTATCAGTTTTGTTCTATATTATCTCGTAGTAATATGTATTAAAACGGTTTTTTTAGATACGATCAAATTACAAATTAAAAAATGATGTAGCAGTTGTGAAATAAGTTTGATCAAATTACAAATATTTTATTTCATTTAAAAAATGATGTAGCAGTTGTGAAATAAGTTGGACTTTGCCCAACTGATTTATATGGGCTGATACTCTGAGGTATGTGCTCTATTTGCCTTGAATTTCAGAACATATGTATTAGCACAGTGTAGCAGGGCACCTGGCGTTTCCTATGAACTTGTGAATCACATTAGTATTGTTCAGATATACTTAAATCGTAGCAACCTCATTTACTGTGTAAGTGTATGTAAGTAGAAGAGGAGAGGCATATACAAACTATTATATGTGCCCCATAAAGTCAGTTTGTTTCTTTTTATTTCAATTTACTAACATTTTACTGTTACATTGATGCAGGCCTGCTGACTGGGAGAGTAGGAGGAAGGGGGCAACTGCCCCGGATCTTGGTAATTCAAAAGGGCCTGAGGCTCCTGACTGCCTCTGTCACTACTACTGTGGCAGCAGCAGTAGCCAGAGCCCCGGTACCCTTACAGGACCCTTTAAAGCATCACAAGAGTCCTGTAAGGTGTACTTTGGGTAGCTCTGATGGCTGGCTTGGATGGGAGAATGTGACTTGGTTCAGGTGCCACTGAAATCACTCCAGCCCCACCACTTCCACTTGAGGCCTCACCCATTCTGGGAGTGTGGAACTGCACCCAACTTGCCTTGGAGCCCTCCAGGTCTGTCAACTCCCCTGTATTGCTGTGAAAAAATGAAATAAACCGAAGAGTAGCAATGTGACTCGAAATACAAATTATATTTCTTCCATTTGATATCTTAAGAAACCAAACTTAAATTCCTTTTTAGCAGTCAGTAACACCACATTGTTAGTATTTGGGGAATAAACGTGCTGTGACTACCACTAAATACTGTTTATAGTACTACATTTTATCAGTCTTAGCAGACCATGCATGCTGAGTGGCGAATGCATACAGTGGAACACATTAATCAAATAAACATCAACACTGTCGATAAAAAGTACAAAAAAGGAACTAATTCAAAGGATTGATTTTTCCCTTTCTCTTTTGCTTTCTTTGTGTGTTTGCACAGCTGATGGTGGCGCCTCATTCCACTACTGAAGTACCTGTCCAGTTCTGTCCTTCTGCACTGGGAAGAAACAGTCACATGGCATCTATCACCTTCACATGCCCACAGGTATGATGCTATATTTAGTGCCCAAGGTCTACAATAGATCATACAATATCATAAATTTTCTAAAGTGGTTATAAATAAAAGTTTTAGTCATAGGACAATTTAAAATCAGATTTTTGTGTATTTGATCATACAGCCCAAGCAAAAATAATCAACTTTGATGAATAATTTGTTTTAACTTTAGCTTTGCTCAGCTTTCAGTATATCGACAATCTTAGATAGAATTAATGCTGTTGGTTGATATTCAGAGAACTAAAGTATGTATTGGTATTTCTAATTTTCTTGGTAATTAAGGGTATGTCTACACTACCCCCCTAGTTCGAACTAGGGGGGTAGTGTAGACATACCCTAACAGATTATCCAAAATTATTCATTACCTGAAACAGTCTTCCTTCCATGAAATTAACTTAATAGTATTTTGTGTATTATTATTGTAAATAAGCCCCAGTTATTAATGTTTATTTTCATTTGAAATTCTCATACACTTGAAAGAATTGTCCTTTGATTCAACTTGAAACTAATATCTTTACATTTAATATGTTAAAAATTATTATTTTTTCTTTGTATTTCCTGAATCTTTAAAGAGAAGCAACTAAATGGAGAAGCATGAGTCATCTCCTTGACCTACTAACTTACTAAAAATTGCAGCTGGAGACAAAGAACAGAACTGATATTATGACACGAGTGCCATAATGTCAGCACAGGAGTTGTGCTTGAGTGAAATGTTTGCTTTCCAAATGTATCTAATTTCCTCTCTTTCTTCTTGTTGGGCTGTCAGATATCCTAATGGGCTGTTGACTTGAAAATTACTCATTTGAATGCTAGGGAAATGTCGCTAGTATGATTCTTAGTAATACTTCAAATGCAGAACTTGTCTCTTCTACGAGAAAAAAAAAAGATTAAGAAGTGATATAGCCTATGTTTTTTCTGATATCAGAATGCCTAGTGGAAAGATTATCTATATACAGTGGTTGCAAAGCATGCATTTTTAAGAGTCCCCCTACTCTTTAATATTTATTAAGAATAAAAGCAAGGAGCCAGCATTTCTGGTTTAAGTGGTATATAACCAAGGAAGTTCAAGAGGACAAAATGCCATTATCTTGTCTGAATCCTAACAGCTCTTAGAATTTTGGTCTATACATTAAAAGTTTAATTCTTCATCATATACAGAAGCAATAAAGCAAGTAAATAATTCACTTAAACCTTTCAGGAACAAATTGAGCCCTGACACTTGATTTTTCTCATCCAATGCATCTCCTTTCAAATAATGGCAAATCTCCAAGTTTTTATGTGCCGCTGAACCTTAATCAATATCTCATCCTTTCCGTTGCTTTGTCCAGGCCCTTTCAACCTTTTCAATCTGTTGCTCTTGCCTTTATAATTTTTTTCAATGCCCTTTTCATTCCTGAACCATATGGATCTTTCTTTTTTTTTAAATCCTATTCACTTTCGCTGCTACAATCCTTACAAAATTGATACTATGTGATCCTAGAGTGCTAATTATTACAAGTTTAAAAAGATATATATTTGCCCAAATGTAATGTGGTTGTTTTTTAATGTCTGAAGGCTGGAGCTACTTTTTAACCTAAAACAATTTGCATTGATTTTCTTTTCTTGATTTCACTGATTAAATGCATCTGAATTGACACTGTAAACCATGTCATAGCTGAGTAGCTGACTAATTTAAAATCAAATAGTAACAGTATTTATAGGATGAACCATAACTTTTTTGCTTCTGCTTCTTCGCTGAATTGAGAGAAGATGCTCTGGGCTATTATCTGCTTCATTTGTTTCTGATTTGGAGTGTGAAGAGCTCTTCACAATAAGAATTCAAGTTTAGGTTCTAATCACTTTACCATAGTTTTTGAAACCTGAAATTAGCTTTGTTGGAATAGCATGAAATGCCAGCTTGAATATAATACATGCCCAGAGTATTAATATATTTCCATCATCGTGTTCTCCTATCGTATCAGCAACTTCCATAGGTAATGCAATGAGGCTAATAGTACAAAGCGGCATAAGAGAAATGCAGGGCTTTGCAATATGTCTTGTCAAATATTCTTTGCTTGTTTTTTTTCCAGTTCTTTCCTCATGATATGCTGCACTAGGCAGTGTATATTCATGTATATCCTGTTAGGTTTCCATTTCCCATGAAAGCCAGACCTTTTCTAAATGTAGACTTTTTGTTGTAATTGTTTTTATAAAATTGTCCTCTAATTTTGGATGCCTTATTTTTTTTAGCTGCCCAGCTTGAAACACTTTGAGGATTTTTTCCCCCCAAGGGTGCTCAGTACTTCAGGATATCGAGCCCAAAGTGTCTCCAGATGGAAACACACAAATAAAGGCAATCAGAATCTGTGAAAACTTAGCTTTTCTCCCTCTAAAACAGCATGGCTTTATCTTTAAACATTTCAATTTCAGAGAGCAAAATTGAAAAACAGGACTAGCCCAGGAAACTGATTTATTTTCTATCAGATAAATCTTTATTAGAAGCTAACTTTATAAGTCTACTCCATCTATATAGCTGCATTAAGAGTGTACCTTTGTCTACCTCTCTAATAGTTTCATTAAACTTGGGGTATATACTATGATAGCGAGTTTACCAGGCCTGGATTTAAGAAAATATGAATGACCATACTGGGTCAGATCAAAGATTCATCTAGTTCAGTTTCATGGCTTCTGACAGTGACCAATTCCCCAGAGGGAATGAACAGAATAGGCAGTCATCAGGTGATCCCTCCCTTCTTGCCCATTTCCAACTTGTGACGAACAGAGACTAGGGACATCATTTCTACCCATCCTGACTAATAACTCACTGGATCAGAGAGTTGGGCTGGTGAGGGCTCAGGCTGGGGGTGTGGACTCTGGGGTGGGGGCGTGCTGGGAATGAGGAGCTCTGACTTTCGGGTGCAGTCAGCAGACTGCTCCAGGGCTGGGGCCAGAGTAGAGGACTCCTCCTCCCCTTCCTCCTCCTAGTACTCATCCCAAGCCCCAGAAGGAGTCCACTCCAAGTCGTCTGGTGGGGAGCTGCCATGATGTGCCTCCTCTCCGCCCATCTCCAAATTACAGCAATGTCAGCCTGCTGCCAGCCCCACTCTCTTACAGCCAGGCTTCAGTTGCAGCAGCCTATGAGGAAGTGCAGGGGGCATGGGACAGCCACCTCTTGCCCAGTGAACACATCAAGTGAGGGCAGGGGAGGTGCCTTGGTGCTGGTAGGTGGGGCTGGGAGCCTCTCTGGAGTAGGTGCATATGGGCAGCAGGTGGAGAAGGGAGAGAGACCCAGCTCTGACATTGGTGGAGCTGTGCCCCCAACATTGGTTGAGTCTAAGCACCTCAGGCCTATCCAACTCACTGCCCCTGTCTACAACAACCCTTCTAACATGTATCATCAGCAGGGTTTGAAACCTCAGCTTTGAACACTTGAGCTACAGAAACAACTACATTTAAAAAAGAACAAATAGTCTAGTAGCACTTTAAAGACTTAAAAACATGTAGATGGTATCATGAGCTTTCGTGGGCACAACCCACTTCTTCAGATGACTGGAATATTAAAAGTCCAAATCCAAGAATAAATAAGGGAAGGGGGAGGAGGGAAAAAAAAGAGAGAAAAGGGTGTGGGGTGGGGGAGAAGAGAGACTGTGAGTAGATAGTTCAAATAGTTACAAGAGGCTGTTAAGAACCATTAGCATCTCCATTGTTTGGTTGGTTGGTTAAGTCATTAAAAGGTGAAAGATAGTGAACCTATATCCCGGTTCAGACCATTTGCATAAGAATTAAACTTGTGAATGAAGTTAAATTCCAATCCTTCTCTGTGTAGGATTGTAGAATTGGCCTGAAACACCACAGTGACTTGGAGATCCATTAATGAGTGTCCGGGCAGGATTAAAGTGTTCTCCAACAGGTTTCTGTGTATTACCTTATGGATATCTGATTTAGAACATAAGAACATAAGAACGGCCGTACTGGGTCAGACCAAAGGTCCATCTAGCCCAGTATCCTGTCTACTGACAGTGGCCAGCACCAGGTGCCCCAGAGAGGGTGGACCGAAGACAATGATCAAGTGATTTGTCTCCTGCCATCCCTCTCCAGCCTCTGACAGACAGAAGCCAAGGACACCATTTCATCCCCTGACTAATAGCCTTTTATGGACCTAACCTCCATGAAATTATCTAGCTTCTCTTTAAACTCTATTATAGTCCTAGCCTTCACAGCATCCTCTGGCAAGGAGTTCCACAGGTTGACTACATGCTGTGTGAAGAAGAACTTTCTTTTATTAGTTTTAAACCTGCTCCCCATTAATTTCATTTGGTGTCCTCTAGTTCTTCTATTTAGGGAACTAATAAATAACTTTTCTTTATCTGCCCTCTCCACACCACTCATGATTTTATATACCTCTATCATATCCCCCCTCAGTCTCCTCTTTTCTAAACTGAAAAGTCCCAGTCACTTTAACCTCTCCTCATATGGCACCCGTTCCAAACCCCTAATCATTTTAGTTGCCCTTTTCTGAACCCTTTCCAAGGTCAAAATATCTTTTTTGAGGTGAGAAGACCACATCTGGTCACAGTATTCAAGATGTGGGCGTACCATAGTTTTATACAGGGGCAGTAAGATATTCTGGGTCTTATTTTCTATCCCTTTCTTAATAATTCCTAGCATCCTATTTGCCTTTTTGACCGCCGCTGCACACTGTGTGGAAGTTTTCAGAGAACTGTCCACGATAACTCCAAGATCTCTTTCCTGAGAGAAAAAAATTAACACATTTTTTTGTGTTAATTAATTCTTTCCCGTAGAGATTATCCAGTTTGGCCAATATACATTGCAGTGGGGCATTGCTGGCATTTGATGGTATAGATCATATTAGTAGATGTGCAGTTAAATGAGCCTCTGATTTGGTGGCTGATGTGGTTGTTTCCAGTGATAAAATCACTAGTGTAGATGTGTGGGCAGAGTTGGCACCGGGCCTGATTGCTGGGGTGGGTTTCTGGATGATTATGATGTAGGTGTGTTGCGTGGTTATTGGAAATAATTTGTTTGAGTTTAGGGGGCTGTCTGTAGGCGAGGATTGGCCTTTACCTCAGGGCCTCTGAGAATGAGGGGTCATTTTCCAGGATAGGTTGTAGATTGTTGATAATGCATTTGACTGGAAAGATTCCCTCTTCCTGTGCAAAATTACCTGCCACAAGTGCAGCCTGCCTAAGGGCCACAATTGTAAAATTACCTTACTGCATGGTGGATATTCTTCCTAACTCCTCTTAGAATAATGGAAATTATGCCTAATATAGGAAAGGGGAATGATATTAAACTGAAAACAAAAATCAATTATTTATATTCTAATTTATATAATTGTGGATGTTCTTCTAATCTAGATAAAGATCAAATCCCTCTTTGAATCCTGCTAAATTCTTGGGCCCAATGTCTATCTGTAACATTGGGTTCCATAGGTTAATTATGTCTTGTACAAAATAATTTTCCTTTAATGAGCTTCACGTTTCTTTCTTTTCAATTTAATTGAATATTGCTTTCCTTATATAAAGCATAAATAAGGGCACCCAATGTACCTTCTAAATATATTGTATGTAACCCCCATGTCTCCTTTTAGTTGTCTTTTTTCTAAACAGATACAATCTTTTCATTTTTACATTATATACAATATTTCTATGTATGTGTCACCCCACTTCCTACTCTTTTGGTTATTCAGAAAAAGTGTCCAAAACTAACTTCAGTGCTCTATATCATGGTGTACACGTGATTTGTATTGCGGTATGAAATTTTCATTCTTTATTTTCTATTCCATACTTTGTGCATCCTTATCCTTTAGAGTATTTTATTTTTGTTCACCACTGCATATAAAGCATTTAGCATTGAGCTGGCCACAGTGAAGCCTATGTGTTCTTCTTGAGTGGTTACTGTACATTTAAAATCCCATAATGTATATATACAGATAACTCAAAATTGCTTGCATTGCATTTGTCAACAGTGAGTTTCATCTGTCATCATGCTGCACATCCATTTAGTTGGGTTAGGTACTTAAGAAGATCCTGAATATCTTCTCCAGTCTTGCCTAATGTATTTTTTTTTGTCATCTGCAAATCATAGAAGCATAGGACTTGAAGAGATTTCAAGAGGTTATCTAGTCTAATCCCCTTTGTTTAGGGAAGGACTATTACCTAGACTATCTCTGACAAGTGTTTGCCTAACTTACTCTTAAAAATCAACAATGATGGAGATTCCACAACCTTCCTAAGCAATTTATTCCAGTTTTTAACCACCCTGACAGGAATTTTTTCCTAATGTCCAGCATTGCTGCAATTTAAGCCTATTACTTCCTGCCCTATCCTCAGAAGTTAAGAAGAACAATGTTTTTCCCTCCTCCTTGTAACAAACTTTTACCTTCTTGAAAACAGTTATCATGTTCCCTTTACATTAATTGTTTACTAATTGGGTCTATTTCTTCCAAGAAATCAATGATTAGAAAATATTAAATCTGAGGGGAAAAGGAGGAAAATAAACAAAAAGGTTAAAATTTCTTCTACACAAAGTGTACAATCACAATAACATAAAATTAGAAACAAGCTTTAGTAAGGTGTATAATGTGGGGGC